GCTACCGCCCGATATCCTTAACATCATGTTGGGCAAAGTTGCAGAAAGAATGATAAACAGGCGCTTATATTGGTTCCTAGAGAGTTCTGGTGTTCTATGCCATGAACAGGCAGGCTTCAGAACCAACAGCTGTACAGAAGACCAGCTGTTCAGACTGACACAAAGAATACATGATGGCTTCCAGAATAAGAAACACACAGTGGCAGTCTTTGTCGACCTCCAGCAGGCCTATGATAGAGTATGGAGAAAAGGTCTCCTGATGAAGATGATGAGCATAAGAATACATGGCAGATTGTATAACTGGGTGAAATACTTTCTGATAGATAGAACAATCCAGACTAAGATGCACAACGCAATCTCTTCTAAAGAAGTCTTGGAGGACGGCTTGCCACAAGGCTCATCATTGAGCTGAACACTGTTCCAAATCTTTATCAATGACCTGCCAGAACAAATCAAGGCTGAAAAAGCTTGTACACTGATGACCTAGCAATATGGCAGAATCATGATAATGTGGAAAGTGGAGCCCAAAGACTGAATTGAGACCTTAGAAGACTGCATGAGTACTTCCAAAGACGGAAACTCAAGGTTAACTATGCAAAGACGGTCTACACAATCTTTCCCAAAAGCCACCAAGTAGCAAGGAAGAATATTAACCTGAGGTTAGACAAACACAAAGTGATGAAAGAAGAGCATCCCACATACCTTGGAGTCACACTTGACCGGCAGCTCAGCCTCAAGAACCATATTGAAAACATCAGGAATAAGGCATTGAGGCGGTTACAGTTATTAAAGAGACTTGCAGGTACATCATGGGGATCAGACAAGGAAACTCTGAGGGGCTTATATCTAGGATATGTTCGCTCTGTGATAGAGTATAACAACTCACTGCTACACCAACTGCTGCATGTGAAATCCATACAAATGTGGAACCCTTCGGGTTGCGGAGAGAAAAAGCCACTTTAGAAATTTATGAAAGATGCGTTAGAAAAAATCGTAACCATCCTAATAGACATCTTGTAGAAAACTGGGAATACAAACAAAGTGTTAATGAAATTCAGGACAGATACCACCTCCCAGAAAGACGTCAAGGAATTCAGAATGATGCAAGAAACCTACCACTACATGCTCGCTTTAAAGCTCCAGAAGTCCGAACTAAATTGGTAGGCGAGGAAACCAAACAGTCCGACCCAAAACTCATCACTAAAGACCGTTGATTCTTACCCCCAAGAATGGATACATGTCTATACTGATGGATCAGCATTTAAAGCTACCATTAAAGCAGGTTACGGAATCTACATAGGTTATCCCGATGGATCTGTTGAAGAGATTTTTGATACATGCGGGGAATTCTGTTCAAATTATGAAGCTGAAATAATTGCACTGGAAACAGCAGTATACCACCTAAAGACTGTAATGGATGTTTACCCTTCAAAGGTCCAAAATATTGTCATCTTCACAGATTCCATGTCTGCCCTTCAAGCTCTGGAGGGCAGTGAACGCTGCAGAACTGACATAGCCAAGATAATCCTGGATGCTGATCAGCTTTTTACCTCATACAACATCAGAATAGTGATTTAGTGGATTCCAGGTCACTCCGGCACACCAGGTTATGACAGAGCTGACAGACTGGCAAAGAAAGGAGCAACACAAGAACAACCACCTACAGCGACAACCCTCCAGACAGCAAAAACACTTATAAGAGCTATAAACAAAGGGACTTGGTTGAACAGATGGGACATGGGAGACACTGGAAGAGAGCTTTATAGACATATGGCTGGCCCTGATCCTAATGACAGCATTAACCATCTAACAAGAAGGGACCAGGCAACCATCTTCAGACTTAAAACGCAACATACTCCACTCAATGGACATCTAAACAGAATACAGCCACAACACTCCCCAGAGTGCCAGCTATGTAACTACCCCTACGAAACTGTTGAACACCATCTCTTTGAGTGCCCAAAACTCAGTGAGACAAGAAGAACGCTACTCCCTCTGAGACCAGACAAGTGGAACACCTTGTACGGAGGAAAAGAACAGCTTGTGAAAACATGCAAATTCCACTACATGGCATTGGGCCAAAGGGCGAAAGCGCATGCGCCGCTGGATCAATAACAACAACAACAACTTAGAATTACGAACCACAATTGACAATCTCTTATCTTATTCTAACTAAAGAACAAATGTATATTAAATAACAATCTCAAATTTATGCAACAAATTTCCTAGTTAAATATTACATTTCTTTTTCTCCAAGATGTCAGTCTGATGTTTGTATTTATTAAGATGTCCAAGCCATCTCCGTCATCTTACTTTGATAACATTTGCCAGTGATGCACATTCTGTTTTCCTCCTCATTTCTTCACTTGTGATCTTGTTTGGCCACAATCAAAAGACATACCTGGCCTAAAATTACACTGTTAGTGCCACTGCCAGATGCTAGCCATGCAGATCAAAGATCACTGGTTAAAATTTAGATGGTGGTGGATTTTTGTAAGATATGACCTTGGATGCCAGTTCAACTCAGCCTGAAATAGGTACCAAATAATGTATTAGGCAGTAAAGGGGGCTGGCATCCCATTGACCACACCACCCCTCGAGTGCTGATCGTACCTCCTCTTCTCCTTCAGGTTTACCAGCTGTAAATTCCAGCAAAACATTCTGGTTGTTCTCTATCTCTGGACTTTGGTCTTGTTCCAAAACCTGAGTGCAGCATGCATCTCCATTTAACAGGTCTGGCTTATTTGTATGCAGACTCTTAGCTCCTTGCCTCTCTGATTGTATTCTAAAATCCCCTGTGTGGGTTCCGGGGCCCTAATATAGGGAAAAACAAGAATAGACCCACTGACTATCCAAAAGCATGTAGTAAGAGTTGAATAATTCAGAGCTTCTGTCAAAGTCAAAGTGCATCTGCCTGAGAGGCAAGGAACCAACAGTCTGCACAAAAATGTGTCACTTCGGTCAAATGGATGCACACACAAAACTCAAGTTCTGGAACAGGGCTGCAGTCCAGAAGTGGACGAATGAACTTTTCACCACAGTTTACAGCTGGTGAACGCAGAGAAGAAGAAGAAGTACCCTCAAAATATGGGTCTAGCACCATACACCTAATTTGTGAATGAAAAAATTTGTCAGTACACTTACAGATCGAAATGTGCGCGCTAACAATAGCCTGCCATTACTGTGGACTTATCACATACTGAGCCCAACAGAGACTCATCAAGACTGTAGGTACAACAATTACAAGAGCCAGCAGTGAGAGAATCTAAACATGCATGTCCTTCCCCTGCGAGGGTTGTGGGGCCCTATTTGGGGAGGGGAGGAGGGAGAAAGAACACATGAATTGCTTACCACCTTTCTCCAACAACATGTCGTAAAGGTCAACTAATCTGGGGTATTTCCTGTAAAGTGCATCTGCCTGAGAGGCGAGGAACCAACAGTCTGCTTACAAATAAGTCAGATCGGTATGATGGAAGTAGTAGATTTAAAACTTGAGTTTTTCAAAAAAATTAAAGTCTAATAGTTGACAAACAACCAGAACTCATCATCGGAGTTTACAGTCGGGGAACATGAATAAGAAGAAGATATTTGTCCTTTCAGCAACACTGGATGTTATGAGCCTTCTAGTTATACATGAAATTCTTATTGTGCATTCCTCCTTAAAGAAGCCGTTAGCACATGGTGTTCAGCAGCTGTAAACCCTGGGGGGAAGTTATGGTTGTTCATCTATGTTTAGATTTTGCTTTGGTTTCAGAACTAGAATTTTGCATGCACAACAGTTTTACAGATCTAGCTCATTTGTATAAAGACTGCTGGTTCCTCACTTCTCAGGCAGACGCACTATGACTTACAAGGAAATACCACTATTTAGTTGACTTTTACAATTTGCTTTTTGGGTGTGGGGAGGGGGGATGGAGGTAGTGGCTATTATCTTTTTTCCCTTACAATGATGCCCAGGAACTCTTAAGAGGGAGCACAAATCAGCAAACCCTTAATTAATTGCTTGTTAAGGCAAGACCAGTTCCAGATGACAGGCCATGCTGCTGACCTCATCAAACCAGGCTAACAATACGTAAACACAGTGTTTCTCAAACTTTCTTCGTCAGTCAAAAAACAATTTGCGGCACACCAACCCTTGAAGCGGTTTGAATACTTAAGAAAAGAAGAAACAAGTGCAAATTCAATGTCAAGCAGATTTTGAAAAATTCTTGATTATTGCTGCTGCACCCTGACATACACCATGCCACCCAGTTTGAAAATCGCTGCGTTAATATTTTGTTAGCCCGTTTTGGTGACGTGTTAAATGACTTCAGTTAGTTGTAGAGTATGGCCCTCATGACTACAAAATTTGACCTATCTGGCCTAGTGGACCCTTAGTTTGACATGCCAATCTTAAAGTACTTCACTCCATATCCAACACCTAAGTAGTATTGTAGAGATAATTTACTGCCCAAGCTGCATGATCTCTTTCTCAGCAGTTAGTTGTGTATGACCCTCATGACTACAAAATTTGACCTATCTGGCCCACAGGGGACAGTCAGTTTGACATGCCTGTTGTAGCAAGTCCTTTTCAGAACGTCGCTCTCATCCCAGTCAGCCTGACAAAAACTCTCTTGCCAGCTCTCTGGCACTTTCTTAATCAAGGTGTCACTTATATCAAGTGCCCATCTTTGTGCTGATCAGCCTCTGCCCCTCCTTCCTAGCACCATGCCTTCTGCTTTTATGTTTCAGTTAGTTTATATATGTTGTGAACACTATTTTAAATATACTTTTCTGAAGAAAACAAAGGTTTGGTAATAAATAGTACCCAATCACTATGTAGTAATGTGCTTTGTAAAGACAGAAGATCAGCCTGCAGTGAAATGAATCAATTAGAACAATGTACATATCAATGCTTTAATAATAATAAACAAGCTCACTATATGCAAACTGCTATTTTTTAAACAAAAACTTCCTATAGTTTGCTTTGCTACTTTCCAAGAACTTCCTAGTTTGCTTTGCTACTTTTCAAGTAAAAACTTTCTATATGTTGCTTCCTCTTCTCTGGAAGAAAAACGAGGCACAAAATTAACGTTCACAATCTCGGTGAAACCCTCAGTCATGCTTGGCTCCTCATATTTCTTTTTAATCTGATTGAAAATCATTTCGTTGATCTTCTCGTGAGACTTGGTTATCATCTGTCGAAACCTCTCGTTATGTCTGCAGTGCTCCACTGTTGTGGTAAACACAAAACATCTGCAAGGAACACCAGCCTTCTTGGCACACATGACGTATCTTGACCGCTCATCTTTAGTTAAATTTGTGTTGTCTATCACTACGCTGGAGTTTACTAATGCTTCTTGAGCATGTTTGACACATTTCTTCCAAGAACCAAGACTATCTCTATTGACTACTTTGTATCCCTTTGAAGCCATCACATTTGTAGCAAAGTGAGATTTCCCACTAGCTGGAAATCCAACAAGGATAATTGTCTCTTTAGAATCTGATGTAAGCTTGCTGTCTCCATTCAGTAGTTTTGCATCTGAATTCAATTTTCTTGGATCAAAATCTGGCATTTTAAATAAAGATGTTGGTTTCTGGTCTTGGAAAAACTCTTCAGGTGTTTTGAAGGCTATGCCAATGTTTAAAGCAAAGAGGCGATCACTGCATGAAAAATCTTTCTTTTTCTTTGGAGCCCATTTATCTAGTCTTCCGGCAGCGTCACCTACATAAAAACTGGATGCAAGATCAATGCTCACTCTCCCATTATACTGATTCTCAAGCTGCTCCCACATGCCAGTCATAGGTTTCCGATACCTGCCTTCATGAGTGGCTATGAAAACCTGGACAGGAACTTGCAACTTTGCCACCACGTTTTCAATTTTTTTCATTAGGTCTTCAATCTTTGTTTTGCGCCTGGCTACACCAAGCTGATTTGTAAAGAAAACTACTTTGTATTTTTTTTTTTGCAAATCTTTCAATTTGTTAAAAACTTCTGGCACATATATTTTCCAATCATCTGCATCTTGTGGAAAAGTTTTTCCTGATTTGGTTGCAATAATTGTTCCATCAAGGTCAAATCCTGCAATTTTACTCCTGGGAACAACTCCTTTTGAAGTAAAGACAAAATGGTCTACATTATTTTCCCAAATGGGTTTATCTGATGGGACAGACGGTGCTTTCCCCCCAGATTTTGATGATTCAGAGGGTTTCTTTAAGCCGTGTGATGAAGATGGAGACGACGATGTGGATGATCCTGGGGTTAAAACCTTTTCTGTTTTCTTAGGATTGGTCTTGGTGTTATTTGCAGCATCTTGCTTCATTTTCTTCAGTTTTTCATTCACATCTGCGAGGTGTTTATCACCATCATGGTCCATGGAATCGTTACTATCATGGGAGTCTCTACTAGAACTGTCTATGTGTTTTGGTTTGACTAAATCTGCACGACTGGCTTCTTTGGTAGTTGCACTCGCATGAACACGTGATCCACTATGTTTGGAAGACGAGCCACTTTTGTGTTCTCCATTTCCATTTGTCTTACTTTCAATCTTCATCTTTTTCTCAACAGGTTGCTTTGCATCAGAATCATCACTGTGCCGTTTTGAGGCTAAAATTGTCTTATGCTGTTTAGTGGATGACTGTGTATGTGTTTTACTGTTTGTTGTAGGAGTACTATGTGCATCTTTCCTAGTAAACTCTTTTTCTGTTCTTTCCTTTTTACCCGAATTGATCATGCTGCCTGGTGAATTTACATTCTGTGTTTCTTTCTTTCTATTCTCTATCTTCTGGTCATTATCTGTGTTTGAACTGTTTGTATGTCGACTGTCTGACTGTTTTTCTACAGTGCTGTCTTGATTACCTTTGAAAACAACTTTGTGTGGAAACAGACCAGACAAAATAAAGAGGGTGGAATCAACGCCCATTGTGACCACAGAATCTGAACCAATGTCTTTCCCATCAACTGCTGTAGGATTTAACCCCTTCTGCTTGACGCTAACATTCTGATGTTGCCAATCGGCGGTTATTTCGAGCTGAGTCCGTGAACATCGTGGATCTGTAATCTTTGTTTGTGGACTGCGTCCGATGACAACTGTCGCACCGTGTGGCAGATCGATAGCATCATGCGTTTTCTGAAGGCACACAAGTTGACAGGACGTAATATTATTCATCGTATGAATATATTACACAGGCTCAGGACACATATAATATCTCTTTTACTAGCTGCTAATGCCAAAAATGAAACAACACTAAAGCAATGCAGCAATTAGTTTGAATGAACTAGCACTGCTACTAGCACGAGCGCTTTCTGTTTGTATTCCGGAATAAGTAACTCTTTGGTGTGGGAGGTAACTTTTAAGGTCTAAGATGTAACTCTCTCATGTGTACGTGGATTTTTTTTCTCTATGTCTTCCCTTACTTCTCTTCCACCTTGTACCTCAGCGAAGTGTCGGGGAGGGGGGGGGGGGGAGAGATGTAACATTTGTTGATGAGTTCTGTCAAGAGCACTATTAAGACTGATGTTCATTTCTGTAAGGTTGTTCCTAATGCAATCATTCCATATTTTCCGAGGTCTTTCACTCGCTCTATACCTATTGTAACGTTTTAGTGTGGCTCGCTGTGGCAGATAGTACATGGCATTCTGGTTAGGTGTCCAAACCACTTCATCTGTTGTTCTTTGATGATTTGTAAGACTGGTTTTGTTCCTAGCATTCGTGATTTCGTATTTATTATGTCTTTCCTTGAAACTCCCGCAGCTCTTCTAAGGTATTTCATCTCTGTTGTCACAATTTTACGTTTACTGGATCATCATCATTATCATATGAGTCGCCGAAACAATGATAGCATTGAGGAGTGGGATCGCTCAGCGTCCTGGCAGATATTCTAGGGAATGGGAGTTCAAGGCCCCCCCCCTCCCCCCCCCACCCCTTATTTTTTTTAGCTGGCAGTACCATTATTATTATTTAAATATTGCTCTATGTTCTTGCTGAAACGCATAAAGAAAAGGATTCATTTTGTGTTTCATTATATGTTGATTTAGTTAGTTAGTTGTTCCTCTCGTGCCAAAGATGGCGCATAGGGCAGAGGTCATAGCTTTCCACGTCTGTCGGTTCTTTGCCACTTGATGTAGGTCTTGAGTGCGACTGAGACCTATGGTTGAGCTCTCCCTTGTGATGGTTCTACGGAGAGTTTCTTTTGGTCTTCCCTGTTTTCTTTTACCCTCTGGTGACCATATGAAGGCTTGGTGGGGAAGTCTCTGTATGTCCATTCTGAGTACGTGACCGATGTAATTCCAGCGACGCATTCTAATAAAATCAGACACATATTTTTGTTTTGTTTCCTGTCTTATAGATGTATTGGACCTAAAGTCCGACCAGTGAACATTCAATAGCTTTCGGAGGCATCTATTCTCGAAAGCGACTAGTTTCTTATCGATTGATACTGATGATATGTTGATTTAACTCTGTAGTAATGCACCTGGCGAGATACAGTGAAATATGCCACGCAATAAATTGTGCAATGTTTTGTTTGTGTCCTCATTATTTTAATTTACTACGGGAGACATTGTTTTTAACTTTTAATACTGTCATTATTACTACTATTATGTGACGATGGTCACTGTTCCTAACAAGGTTAGTATCCGTATGATTAACAAATCATGGGTTTGAATTTAACAAAACGAAAAATCCCATTTAGCTGTATAACCAGCTGAGATTGTAAAGTAACCGGCAGTCAGATGTGGGGTGGGGTATTAATATCGTGTGCTGTGTGGAAAAATAATTCTTCTTCTTAGTAACCTTCACCAGTTGTAAACTCCTATGGAAAGTGCTGGTTGTTCGTCCACTTCTGAACCTAGAATCTAAGTTTTGTGTTCATATCCATTTTGTAGATTTGAGCTTTTTTTTTTATGCACTGTTGGTTCCTCGCCTCTCCGTGGAAACGTATTATTTAGAATAGGCCAATGGGATCGCAGCAGCGCTATACGAAAGAACAGAGTGGTTCCGATATGATGCATGGGCCAGTATCGCCGGTGCTCTACAGTGTGTACGCAACGCTACATCATGAACGAGACAGAGTGGTACCAGGAATTAAAAGCACACGTAATCCCGGCAACGGCCTTCTTAACACAGTTCTCTGTGGAAGAAAAGCCATCCATCAACTGTGTAGCAAAGCTTACCTTCCTTTCTCCAAATTCAGAATCTAGCAGGATAAGCACTATCACTTAGACTTCATGTCTGAGGCATAACGATCCATCTCAGACAGATTGTTAACCAGTTATTATATAAGCAACTGTAAAACGGCATTCTCCGTAGTGAAGTGGTCGAGCGGATTGCCTGGTGGTAGTTCGTGCGTTTCACCGACGCGGTGTTTAATTCGCCAGTGTAGTTTTTACTGAGATCTCTGTGGATAGCCACTGGAGCTACATTATTCGCTTTGTGCAAGCTAACAGTTCTGGGGAAGGAGACCGAGCTAAATGGGGTAACCCCTGGCATCGGAGACTATCCTCTCGACTTTAACCTTTAACTATAAAAATTGTTTCTGCCCCAAGCACCAAATCGTGCACGATGAACTACCTAGCTTATCTATTATTGAAGAAAGACATTCTATGTCAATCTCCTTTTTCTTCTTCTTCCTCGCGTCATCTTTTACCAAATCGGGTATCGGGGGAGGTATGTTCTGCTTCTTACTCTTCTGGCCACCACGTAGCAGACGGTGGACGCTAAGAAAAAAAAAAAGAGGGAGATTACTTTGCCGAGACAAGACGTCCCCAGTTTCTCTGATGCTGTTTTTCCATGTTGTTCTTGGTCTACCTTGTGCTCTATGCCCTTATCTCATGGTGTATTACATGGCGTCACAGGGTATTCTCCCAAAGTGGTGAAAATATTTTGATTTACCGTCTTTGTGCGTAATTGAGAATTTGTTCAGTGCCGACTTTTTCTCTTATGATCGCATTCCTAACTGTATAACTTTTGGTCACAACCATCTCATTTGCATGGTTATTAATGTTTTTTTCTGGTTTGTTGTGAGTCTGGCAGCATATACTGGGAATGAATATGCTTTGTACGAAATTGTTCTTTGTGCTGATCGGGATTGTCTTGTCCTGTAAGGGAAGGAGGGGTAGCTGTCACAATAATTGACTTGCTTCACTGCGTCTGATGCATATAAAAAAAAATTGTTAATCCATTTCTCATCTTCGTTGACTATTTGCAGATATGTAAACTCTGATGTTGGGTAATCTTAATATATGTTAAAAGGCCTTTTAATTTTGATTTGAACTCAGTAAAAAAAAATCCAGATAAACATTTAAGGCTGCGCGCAATATATCTTATGAAAAGTGTATACATGTTGCCTCTTTTGAAGTAACCTAATGGACTTGTTATTTTGTGTTTGTGGGTGTTGTCGTCTTTTGACTTTGGAAGTGAAATGCTCAAAGTATGATATTCGGCAAACAAGTGAAATAAAGGTATGCAAACCATGAATTATAAAACACTGAAATCATCAGTGTATCCACAGATGTGTTCCTACAGCAGTAGCTATTTGCATGCTTCTCGTCGGTGGCGAGATGTGCGTGAAACGGTTGTATTCGCGGCCTACATTTTCCATTGCTACGGAAAAATACATCATTTTTGGATTAACGATTCATTCATTGTAGTAGTAGTAGTAGTAGTAGTAGTAGTAGTAGTAGTAGTAGTAGTAGTAGTAGTAGTAGTAGTAGTAGTAGTAGTAGTAGTAGTACTAGTAGTAGTAGTAGTAGTAGTAGTAGTAGTAGTAGTAGTAGTAGTAGTCTGGTCTGGTAGTCTGGTAGTCTTAGTTTCAGCTTCATAGCAAACGGGTCGCCCCATCTTTGCTCCGCTCCTGTGCCAGCGAAAAACACCCAGAATTTTTATCACAGTCCCTTGTGGAAAGATTGACAGACTGCTGTCTCAGCATATCTAGCATACACTCGCATTAAAGCATACGGTAGCCATCCGAAGTGCTAACACAAACAGTCCAACATTAGAAATGCAGTTCATCATTGATGATAGCAGAACTTGTCGCCAACAGATCAGCAGTTGCCCGTGCGATCAATTTAAGTAGTAGTAGTAGTTGTTGTTGTTGTTGTTGTTGTTGTTGTTTGTGTAGCAGTAGTAGTAGTGGTAGTAGCAGTAGTTGTTGTTGTAGTAGTAGTGGTAGCAGTAGTAGTAGTTGTAGTTGTTGTAGTTGTTGTAGTAGTAGTGGTGGTAGTAGTAGAAGTAATAGTAGTTGTCGTTGTAGTAGTTGTTGTGGTAGTAGTAGCGGTAGTAGTAGTAGTTGTAGTAGTAGTAGCAGTTGTTGTTGCAGTAGCAGCAGCAGCAGCAGCAGCAGCAGCAGCAGCAGTAGTAGTAGTAGTAGTAGTAGTAGTAGTAGTAGTAGTAGTAGTAGTAGTAGTAGTAGTAGTAGTAGTAGTAGTTGTAGTAGTAATGTGTCAAAAAATATAATATTTAACCTTCAGGGTTATAACTGGGATGTATATTGTCAATGAATTTCTCAGAGGATATATATTTTTTTTAAATATTTGTATAATAAATGACCGATGCCTAATTTGTATTGTTTCTCATATTGCTTTGATTTGAGTTATAATTATTAAGAAAAAAAAATACTATGAATAATTAGACAAAGTTCCTAACATTGTGTCATTAACATGTTGGAGTTATTATTCCCTTAGTGAAACAGTTGATTATTCTCTTCGATTTTATCTTCAGGGAAAACTTGTTCAAAGATGGCATGGAAATTGTTTACACTTCTACGACTATACATGGATGTTAGTTCATTCTGTGTACTGTTATGTGATTATGTGTCACATATGACTCGCAGTCTATTTCTCTATCCCGTTCTATCCTGGCAGTCGGTTCGACATCATGGATGGCATCCAGTCCAGCAGTTTTGACCTTTCTCATAAACGTTCGTTTGAAGGTTTCTTGTGGGCGTCCTCGTCGCCTTAATCCCTTCCCTCTTCGTGTCTTCCAAGGATGTGCCCAGTATAGCACCATGATTGATTGATGATAGATTGGCACCTTTCCGTCTTTCTAGACAATAGTGTTATAATGCGCTATGAGAAGCTATGGGACTCACAGCCCATAGCGATGGTGAGTGTGACTAGCGAGATCCGCTTACGTCAAGAAAAGTTTTCCACAACGATACCATGGGATTT